TGGTCTGCTGAAAGCATTGGGTTCTAGGGACTTTGCCAGCTCATTGGATTTAAACTGCTGGCTCCCACCCCCCACCGGAGGAGAGGACTAGAACTGCTGCAGGCTGTGTACGTTGCACACTGTCATTGCAAAGTCTCAAGGGGTATTTCATAGAATCGTAGGACTGGAAGGGACCTTGAGAGGTCTAGTCCAGTCCCCTGCACTCAAGGCCGGACTAAGTATTATCTAGACCATCCCTGACAGGTGTTTGTCTAACCTGCTCTTAAAAATCCCCAAAGATGGAGATTCTACAACCTCCCTAGGCAATTTATTCCAGTGCTTAACCCCTCTGACAGTAAGCTGCCCCTCCATGACCTGGCTTGATTAGGCCAGGTCTGGTCTTGATTAGGCTTAGGCCAGGTCTGTTACGCCTGACAACTCCACCCCCGCCCCTGGATAAACACTTAAAGCACTGGAGCAGTTCCCAGGATCAGGACTAGGGGGTATGGCGGAAAGGTGGCATCCCATCGCCTTCTTTCCATTGGGTGCACCACGCAGAGCTCTGAGACTCCGAAAGATTGAGCTCCAATGTATTAATCTTTGAATATCTTCACATGCCATGGCATTCTCAGCCCCTGGATAATTGTCTGATTTGAGATGATCCCCCAGACCTAAGGCTTTTCACTTTCTTGACCCAAGAGGCGGTTGCTAGGTTGATGGAAGAATTCTTCTGATAAGCTAGTGCTGTCTGCACTGGGGGTTAGACTCTCAGGGGTGTGAAATCCACACCCCCGAGAGACAAAACTATGCCGATGTAAGTTCCCAGTCTGGGACAGTCCTTACACAGCATATCCCTCTCTTCATCTGAGTTATTCTTGACTTACTCCAGTGTCAAGTGAGATCAGAATTGGGCTGTTTCTCCCTTTGAACTGCAGTAGAAGCACTCAGGTCTAGTCTACACTAGGAAATTAGGTCGGTTTAACTACGTCGCAAGGAGTGTGAAAAATCCAGATGCCTGAGTGCCGCAGTGACACCAACCTAACCCCTGCTGTAGGCAGCTCTAGGAATTCTCCCATCAACAGATACCGCCTCCTGGGGAGGTGGATTACCTACACCCACGCTACAGCTGCACTCCTGCAGGGTTTCAAGTGTAGACAAGCTCCCGGTACCTTTTATATGCTGTTTGCTGAATGTTTTTTGAAGACCCTTCCATACAAAGAAGTAACCACATACATATTTGTCATCTAAGAGCCCATGTAGAAGAGCGTTAAGATTTGTACTTGGGAATATAAATGGCCTGGGGTTTATAGGTGGATCTCAGCCAGTAAATCTTTGAGGGACTTTTAACCAAATATCACACTGGGAGCTGAAGAGTTCCAAAGTGGTCCGTTTTTTAACACGCTCCAGTGGAGATGCCATGTGAGTTGATAGTGTTTTAATCACCATGGAGGCATGCTTCCAGCTGCTTGAGGAAAGTGGTGTTGATGACCTGTACGTGCCAAACATTCACTTAGCAAAACTTCGGCACGTGAAGCCCCTTGAAATTCAAAGGCTGCCCGTTTGTTATTCAACATTCCTGAACTTAGTCTGAAAACCACAGCCATGGAGGGTCTTACTTTTCCCCCCCAAGAGGGCAACAGTGTGAATATTCTCACAATCCCACGACCTGACACAGCTATCTCTTCCTCCACTGTAAATCAGAAACCACTCCATGGAAGGTTTCAGAGTAACAGCCATGTGGCACCTTAGAGACTAACCAATTTATTTGAGCATAAGCTTTCGTGAGCTACAGCTCACTTCATCGGATGCATACTGTGGAAAGTACAGAAGATCTTTTTATACACACAAACCATGAAAAAATGGGTGTTTACCACTACAAAAGGTTTTCTCTCCCCCCACCCCACTCTCCTGCTGGTAATAGCTTATCTAAAGTGATCACTCTCCTTACAATGTGTATGATAATCAAGTTGGGCCATTTCCAGCACAAATCCAGGGTTTCCCCCCCACCGCCCCCCACACAAACCACTCTCCTGTTGGTAATAGCTTATCTAAAGTAATCACTCTCCTTACAATGTGTATGATAATCAAGGTGGGCCATTTCCAGCACAAATCCAGGGTTAAACAAGAACGTCTGGGGGGGGGGGGGGCGGGTAGGAAAAAACAAGGGGAAATAGGTTACCTTGCATAATGACTTAGCCACTCCCAGTCTCTATTCAAGCCTCAGTTAATTGTATCCAATTTGCAAATGAATTCCAATTCAACAGTCTCTCGCTGGAGTCTGGTTTTGAAGTTTTTTTGTTGTAATATCGCAACTTTCATGTCTGTAATCGCGTGACCAGAGAGATTGAAGTGTTCTCCGACTGGTTTATGAATGTTATTATTCTTGACATCTGATTTGTGTCCATTTATTCTTTTACATAGAGACTGTCCAGTTTGACCAATGTACACGGCAGAGGGGCATTGCTGGCACATGATGGCATATATCACATTGGAAGTTAAAGGAATAACTGGGGTCAGGGAGACCAAAACCAGGCTCCACAGATGCTTCGATGTGTGAAACAGCACATGTACGGGTCAATGAAACTGTCAGTCACCAATAAAAACTACGGCTCCCATTCTGATTTACTCATACTGGGGTAACTGTACTGACCTCAGTGACGTGATCTATACCCATAAGAGATCAGAACCAGGCCCTGTATGTCTGACAGACGTATCAGCTCTAGTTTCTTTATTTCTTGTTTTCTTCCTAGAAAATAGAAAGCTTTTTTATAATTATTTTATGCTAAGCATCCAGTTTGCCTGTTTAGTTTTGTTGTGCTTACACAGAGCAGTAAGACAGTTGTGACACTGCACTCCATATGCTTTATAAAAATATGTTTATAAGTGTGGATATGATGTAACTGGAATATGCTTTGTGCAAAAGGGCTCTTCTTGTAAGGTATCATTACAAAGCTTATAATTTACTGAGTGTGGTCATCCTATTTGTATGAATGTATCATTCTTGGAACTGAAACTAGGAATATGAAATATAACTCTGAGGGCCTATTGTAATTATGCAAAGTGCGGGCCATTAATGGTGGTTTGGAATCTTGATGGCTCCCATTCACTAGGACAACTGGTTGTAAATGGCTCTGTTTACTTGAAAGCCTTCCTGTATATGTGTGTGCCAGCGAGTGGGTAATAAAGTCTTACAGTGACATGTGAACATGTCACAGGATGCTGGAATCCATCTTAAACCTGGTGCTTTTCCACTTAGAAGGAGGGGTGGGAACCCAGAGAGAGACAAAGGATTCCCGCCTTGTGCCAAAGATATAAAAAGGGGTGGAACAGAACAAAGGGGGCTGCCAGTCATGAGAAACCCCCTAGTTACCACCTGAGCTGGAACTAACAAGGACTGTACCAGGGGAAAGGACTGGGCCCACACTAGGAAGGAGTCTAGTCTGTGAAAGAAGCTTATTGGAACATCTCTGAGGGTGAGATTTACCTGTGTTCAGTTTCTTAATGTATTAGGCTTAGACTTGAGTATTTTGCTTTATTTTGCTTCGTAACTTACTTTGTTCTGTCTGTTATTACTTGCAACCACTTAAATCCTACCTTTTATACTTAATAAACTCACTTTTGTTTATTAATTATCCCAGAGTAAGTGATTAATACCTGGGGGAGCAAACAGCTGTGCATCTCTCTTCATCAGTGTTATGGAGGTTGGCCAATTTATGAGTTTAAGCTTTATACAGAGTAAAATGTATTTATTTGGGGTTTGGATCCCATTGGGAGCTGGGTGTCTGGGTGCTGGAGACAGGAGTATTTGCTGAGCTGTTTTCAGTTAAGTCTGCAGCTTTGGGGGCGTGGGTCAGACCCTGGGTCCGTGTTTGCAGCCGGCTGGCGTGTCTGGCTCGACAAGGAAGGGTTCTGAAGTCCCAAGCTGACAAAGAAGATGGGCTCAGAGGTAGTGTCAGCAGGTGACAGTCCCAAGGGGGTCTCTGTGACTGAACCCGCCACAACGGTGAATCTGTTTTCTGTGAGAATGTTGATCTGTTTCCACTCAAGAATGTACTTATAAATGGAAAAGATCAGCATCTGACTGAATTTGAATTGCTTTTTGAACCAACTAAATCTCTTGTCTAGTCCATGTTTCTTGCCCACAGTTTGCTTCCTGCTGAAGGCGAGGTGGGGCAGGTGCAGAAGGTTACTTTGGGGTGGGCTGGATGTGATCTAGGTAGGGGACAGATGAGGGGCTGTGGATCTACATTTATGCAGATCCAGAGGTCCCAATGTCTGGTATGGCCAGCCTAGAGAGTTTGCAGGTGTTACTGCAAACTGGGGTAGCAGTTGCAACTGGGCAGGGGTGTTTCAGTAACTCTTTGTTCAGGCTGTCAGGTGCCTTGTGGGTGCTGTCAGCAGTGAAAGCAGGTGAGCTATAGCTGGGATGAGTGTGGCCTTGTAGCCCTGTACTCACTGGGAAGGGAACCCAGGTAGCTGCTGGTGATCAGCAACCGGGAGAGCTGGACTGGGATTGAATGGTTCATGCGCGGGTGCAGATGGGCGCAGATCTCTTTCAGGGAACGTGAATGGGGCTTGGAAAGACAAAGTGTCTCGATCAGGAGCTGTGGCAGGCACCAAGATGAGGCTGTTCTCAGTGCCTCTCCCCATGAGTCCTGCCTGTCAGCCTGGTGTCTGCTGCCTGGGGGGGCAGCGTTCCTCCATGTGCATTTGTGTGTTGGTGCTTCTGTCCGCCTGTAGGTCCACAGTCTGTTGCCCTGGGAGGTGTATTGGGAGGGGGGGGGGTTGCCCTCGGGGTTTGCTCCCTCTCTCATTCTCTCCCTCTGCCCTTTCCAGGCCACTTAGAAAAGTGCCTTGAAGAAACGCTGGAGCATCCCTAGGGCTCCGACGTGAGGGTAACAACTGTCCTGTGGGGACTCCCGTCCCCAGTGTGTCTAGCGGCGGGGGATGCAGCGCTGTGGTGAGCTTCCCCTCCGGCTGGGGCTCCGCCTGGAGCCAGGCTGCTGGGCACGGTGGCAGTGGGGCGAGCCAGGGGCTGCGGGTGGGAGGTTCTGGATCCCTTCCCGGCGCCCAGCTCAGAGACCCAGCCCACCAGGGAGGGAGCCGGGGCACAGCTCCAGCGGCGCCGGGGGCCGGGGCCGCACTCCCGTGCTCTCGGGGAAGGGGCAGGGGCGCGGGGGGCTCCGGCTGTTTGGGAGGAAGGACGGAGCCTCTCCCCGCGCGCAGGGGGACCCCGCGGGCAGTGACTGATCTCCACCCGCTGCCCAGAGGTGCTGGGCAGGGAGGAGCGCGCAGCGGGCGGTGCCCGGGCTCCCCGGCTGGGGCGGGGGGGGTGCGCAAGGCGGGGCCCCGGGGCTCCAGCGGTTGGGAAAGCAGGACGGAGCCCCCCGCCCCGCGCTGCCCCGGCTGGCGCGGGAGGGACCCTGAGCGGCGGGCAGCTGCGCCCGGGGAGGCGGGCCCGAGCTCCAGCTGTTGGCGAGGGAGGAGCTCGGGGCGCGCCCGGGGAGCCCGGCGAGGGGCCGGCTCGGCGCGCCTCCCGCCTGCTGCCGCGCTCGCCTCCCGCCGCGGTTGTGCCCCGGGCCCGGCGGCGGCGGCACCATGAACGAGGCCGTCTCGATCACGCACTGCCGGAGCGAGCAGCTGCTGGAGACCGAGGAGAGCCCGGCCATCAGCGCCGTCATGTTCTCGGCCGGGCTGCTGGGCAACCTGACGGCGCTGGCGCTGCTGGCCCGGCGCCGGCTGGGGGGGCGCGGCCGGCCGCTCTCCCTCTTCCACGTGCTGGTGACCGTCCTGGTGCTCACCGACCTGCTGGGCACCTGCCTGGTCAGCCCCGTGGTGCTGGCCTCCTACGGCCGCAACCGCTCGCTGGAGGCGCTGGCCGAGGGCGGGCAGCTCTGCCCCTACTTCGCCTTCGCCATGAGCTTCTTCGGCCTGGCCACCATGCTGGTGCTCTTCGCCATGGCGCTGGAGCGCTGCCTGGCCCTGGGCCAGCCCTACCTCTACGAGCGCTTCGTCCGCCGCCGCTCGGCGCTGCTGCTGGCCCTGCCGGCCCTCTGCGCCTTCGCCGCCGCCTTCTGCGCCCTGCCGCTGCTGGGCTTCGGCCGCTACGTGCAGTACTGCCCGGGCACCTGGTGCTTCATCCACATGAGCCTGGAGCCCGCCGAGGCTGGCGCCGCCTACTCGCTGCTCTACGCCTCGCTGCTGCTGCTGCTCATCCTGGCCGTGCTGCTCTGCAACCTGAGCGTCATCCGCAACCTGCTGGGCATGCACCGCCGCGGGCAGACCTCCCGCCGCCTGGCCTCGCTGGAGCAGCCCGCCGGCCGCCGCAGGCTCTCCATGTCCGAGGAGGTGGATCACCTCATCCTCCTGGCCATCATGACCATCACCTTCATCGTCTGCTCCCTGCCTTTCACGGTGAGTGCAGGGGCCCGGGCCCCCTCGTTAATCCCTGCCCTCGGGGGCCTCCGGCGCCTGGCCTTCTCCCGCTGGTCCCCTTGTTAATCCCTGTCCTTGGGGGCCTCCGGCGCCTGGCCTTCTCCCGCTGGTCCCCTTGTTAATCCCTGTCCTCGGGGGCCTCCGGCGCCTGGCCTTCTCCCGCTGGTCCCCTTGTTAATCCCTGTCCTTGGGGGCCTCCGGCGCCTGGCCTTCTCCCGCTGGTCCCCTTGTTAATCCCTGTCCTTGGGGCCTCCGGCACCTGGCCTTCTCCCGCTGGTCCCCTTGTTAATCCCTGTCCTTGGGGGCCTCCGGCACCTGGCCTTCTCCCGCTGGTCCCCTTGTTAATCCCTGTCCTCGGGGGATTCCGGCACCCGGCCTTCTCCCGCTGGTCCCCTTGTTAATCCCTGTCCTTGGGGGCCTCCGGCACCTGGCCTTCTCCCGCTGGTCCCCTTGTTAATCCCTGTCCTCGGAGGCCTCCGGCACCTGGCCTTCTCCCGCTGGTCCCCTTGTTAATCCCTGTCCTTGGGGCCTCCGGCGCCTGGCCTTCTCCCGCTGGTCCCCTTGTTAATCCCTGTCCTCGGGGGCCTCCGGCACCTGGCCTTCTCCTGCTGGTCCCCTTGTTAATCCCTGTCCTTGGGGCCTCCGGCACCTGGCCTTCTCCCGCTGGTCCCCTTGTTAATCCCTGTCCTCGGAGGCCTCCGGCACCTGGCCTTCTCCCGCTGGTCCCCTTGTTAATCCCTGTCCTTGGGGGCCTCCGGCACCTGGCCTTCTCCCGCTGGTCCCCTTGTTAATCCCTGTCCTCGGGGGCCTCCGGCACCTGGCCTTCTCCTGCTGGTCCCCTTGTTAATCCCTGTCCTCGGGGGATTCCGGCACCCGGCCTTCTCCCGCTGGTCCCCTTGTTAATCCCTGTCCTTGGGGGCCTCCGGCACCTGGCCTTCTCCCGCTGGTCCCCTTGTTAATCCCTGTCCTCGGGGATTCCGGCACCCGGCCTTCTCCCGCTGGTCCCCTTGTTAATCCCTGTCCTCGGGGGCCTCCGGCACCTGGCCTTCTCCTGCTGGTCCCCTTGTTAATCCCTGTCCTCGGAGGCCTCCGGCACCTGGCCTTCTCCCGCTGGTCCCCTTGTTAATCCCTGTCCTCGGGGCCTCCGGCACCTGGCCTTCTCCTGCTGGTCCCCTTGTTAATCCCTGTCCTTGGGGGCCTCCGGCACCTGGCCTTCTCCCGCTGGTCCCCTTGTTAATCCCTGTCCTTGGGGGCCTCCGGCACCTGGCCTTCTCCCGCTGGTCCCCTTGTTAATCCCTGTCCTCGGGGATCCGGCACCTGGCCTTCTCCTGCTGGTCCCCTTGTTAATCCCTGTCCTTGGGGGCCTCCGGCGCCTGGCCTTCTCCCGCTGGTCCCCTTGTTAATCCCTGTCCTCGGGGGATTCCGGCACCTGGCCTTCTCCTGCTGGTCCCCTTGTTAATCCCTGCCTTTGGGGACCTCCGGCGCCTGGCCTTCTCCTGCTGGTCCCCTTGTTAATCCCTGCCCTTGGGGGCCTCCGGCGCCTGGCCTTCTCCCGCTGGTCCCCTTGTTAATCCCTGTCCTCGGGGCCTCCGGCACCTGGCCTTCTCCCGCTGGTCCCCTTGTTAATCCCTGCCCTTGGGGGCCTCCGGCACCTGGCCTTCTCCCGCTGGTCCCCTTGTTAATCCCTGCCCTTGGGGACCTCCTGGCCCTGGCCTTCTCCCACTGGTCCCCTTGTTAATCCCTGTCCTTGGGGCCTCGCCCTCCTTCTCCCGCTGGCCATTGTTAATCCCTGTCCTTGGGGGCCTCCGGCACCTGGCCTTCTCCCGCTGGTCCCCTTGTTAATCCCTGTCCTTGGGGGCCTCCGGCACCTGGCCTTCTCCCGCTGGTCCCCTTGTTAATCCCTGCCCTTGGGGACCTCCGGCGCCTGGCCTTCTCCCGCTGGTCCCCTTGTTAATCCCTGCCTTTGGGGACCTCTGGCGCCTGGCCTTCTCCCACTGGTCCCCTTGTTAATCCCTGCCTTTGGGGACCTCTGGCGCCTGGCCTTCTCCCGCTGGTCCCCTTGTTAATCCCTGTCCTTGGGGGCCTCCGGCATCTGGCCTTCTCCCGCTGGTCCCCTTGTTAATCCCTGCCCTTGGGGGCCTCCGGCACTTGGCCTTCAACCACTGGTCTCCTTGTTAATCCCTGCCTTTGGGGACCTCTGGCGCCTGGCCTTCTCCCACTGGTTCCGTTGTTAATCCCTGCCCTTGGGGACCTCCGGCGCCTGGCCTTCTCCCGCTTATTTTTAGTCCCTGCATTACAAAGAACCCCATACAGATGAGGGCACCAGGCAGCCCCACTGAGTTCTGGGATTAAGGCACTGGACTAGATTGAAGCACAAAGATCCTTTCTTTGTTCCTGACTCTGCCACAGCTTCCCTGACCAAATCCCTTAGGCTACCTCCACACTGCAATAAAAGACCTGTGGTTGGCCTGGCTCAGGGCTATGGGACTATACAATCGTTGTGTGGTCCTTCAGGCTCACACTGGAGCCCACACTCTGAAACCCCACGAGGGGAAAGGGTCTCGGAGCCCGGGCTCCAGCTCCTGATCCGGGCTCTGAGACGGTGCCATGGGCTTTTTATCGCAGTAGTGGCTCTGTGCTTCTGTTTCCTCATCTGTTAATGGAGATAGCACTTTTCTAGCTCCCCGGGGACTCATGAGGAGAAATCCACTTTCTGGGAGTTGAGAGACGATGGTGACAGGGCTCAAGAGGCCTTCACAGGGCCCTAGAGTGGCAGGTGCTTGACCGAGGTTGCATGGATCAAGTGTAGGCCCATGTCGCTGAGCTTACATGCAGTGGGACTGAGCTGTGCCATTTTGAGGGCGGCAGCAAGGTTGAAGGGGCTGGTGCAGTTGCAGGGAAGGAGCTGAGCTGACACAGCTCAGTGTGTTTGCATGTGTCATCGTGCGGGTACACAAATCAGCGGGCTCCATGGCTGTAAGTGACGTAACACAGGTCAGTTAAATTGCCAAGGTGGAACGGAGGTTGCGTAGATAAATGCAGTTAGGTGAGTGCAGGGATGCACAAAATCACGGGGCTGGCTGTGCTGTCAGTCAGCGTGTATGCATCCACGTGGTTGTACAAGTGGAAACGAGGATACAGTTCTGCCCGCTGAGCCAAGTTTTCAGCTGTGAGGGGAAAGGATGCCTTAGCAGATACAGACAGCCAACAGCCACTGTGCACACACAAACCCTCACCGGTACACAAATGTTCATTTCTGTGTGAAAAAGCTGGTGTCCCTGAAGCTGAAGATTGTGTCCATAAACAAAGATATGGGATCGGAGAATATGCTCCACACACTTACAATTCATAAGAACTTTGAGCATAGACATTCCTTTTGAACTGAAGGCGTTAAAATGCTTGATAAAGGCATGTATTTTCCCTATTCGGCAGGCAGGGCCAGCTCCAGGCACCAGCGAACCAAGCAGGTGCCTGGGGCGGCAAATGTAAAGGGGCGGCAGGACGTCGGGCTCTGGGGCAATCCGCCCTCGGCGGCGGCGGGAATTCAGCGGTCGCTCCGTCACAGCGCGTTTTGCGCTCGGCGGCAATTTGGCGGCGGGGACGCGACTCTTCTTCGGCGGCCGCACCATGACTCCGCCTCCGTGTTCGGCGGGCAGGATTCCGCCTTCCCGTTCGGCGGCAAGTTTTGGGTTTTTTTGCGGCTTGGGACGGCAGAAACACTGGAGCCGGCCCTGTTGACAGGTAGGGAAACCGAGGCATGCTGAGATTAAGTGTTTTGGACAACAGCAGGTTTGGAAATACGACCCAAGTCTTCTGACTCCCTCGTTCTAACTGCTAGAATGCCCTCCCTCAAAAATATAACCCGTGTGACCCGTGTAATTTCTCTTGTCGTTCAAATTAAATAGGACCCCTTCAGAGCTGCCATGTCACTCAACCCTTTACCAGTCGACGATAGTCAGATAGTTTGATTCTTCCCACTTTTGAGAGAGAAGATGGTTTGGGTGATTTTTTTTCCTTCTGTTTTTCAGTTCTTTTTTCGCTGTGAAAAGCCAAACCCACCCACGTTGGGAACACGGCCAAAGCTAATTTTACATTCCCAGCATTAGAATGACATTATCTTTCATTAGCACTTGGAGAGCTGAAAGGCCCAATGGACAAATTAACCACTGGACATGCTGCCCCATTATTTCTGAATTTCAAGAGCGTGATCAAGGAAATGTAATAACCTCTAGCAGCCTCTTGTGTTTCCTGTGGTTTTGGACTTGAAATCATAAGAGCTGCTCCATCACCAACTGATGGGCCTTAAATTCATTTAGGGGTCTTTAGCTCTGCTCCTAATGGTACTTTCCCGCATCTGGCTGAGTCATGTGCAGACATGAGATGTAACTGCTGGTGTGCTCGTGACAGGCATCCTTGGAAGTACGTATACATTTGCAGTGGGTCTGTTTTGGAGAGGAAGGTTTTTTGCAGTCTGGTGAGCAGCAGAAAGTGACTAGCTAGTTAAAAGTCCTGGATGGTAGAAGTGTATTTTCTACCAGCCTAGTATTTGTACGTAGAATCATTTCATTCGATCAGATATCTAGAAATCCCACTGTGCGCCGCAAAGGAGAAATTAAAAATTCTTATATTATCAGGTGAAACAAGCATCATGAGTATGGAGAAAGGGGACATTGGACCTAGTTCTTATGGCTTTGAGAACTGACTCACAATCAGTTACTTTCCTTTTAGCTTTAGGAGATTCTCTTTCTGGTCTACTCTTTCCATAGAAGAACATAGATATTGCCATAGAACAACAGACCAACTAGCTGTCGTCACAGGTAGCAGAACAGGTAGGTGGCCAGTGGTGAATCCTTCAGAGGAAAGCATATAAACCCTTATAGAGGTACCCAGTTGTACAGTAGCATACCACTGGGGATTTCTTCCTGCTCCTACCTCTTTCTGCCCTGAAGCATGAGGACTGAAAGTCCTAAATCTATCTAGGTAATATAATTGTAGACACTACTCATATTCCTTGCCATGGCTAATCTTTTTTTAATTAGACACACGTGGATGATGGTTGAATTTAGTGCCCATGAAGGTGATATACCAGTAGCATCAATTGTAAAGCCGACCCTGCATAAGCAGTTGTAGGGCAAACTTTCCCCCAAACTAACTAAGTCCCGAGTCATGACATGAGTCGTCAGAACATCTGGTGCTTTTAGTAACTAGTATGAGATGATTCAACTCGCTTTCAGCTGCAGCATGCACACAATTTGAACCCAGGTCGCTTGATGTGAATGGCTAAGGCATTAATTGTCTGTCTCAAACTCTTCATCTCCTTTTTTAATACACAGCTTTAGAAGTTAGATACATCCGGGGTTGCTAAACAGCTCTGGGTTCATGGGGACCAGGACCTGAGACGGAGCAACTGGTGTCACATGAGTCAAATTTGCTGCATCATCTTCCCAGGAGGGATTGTCAGCTCTTCCATGAAGTAGCAAACAAGCATATGTAAGGAAGTAACTGATTTTGGCTGTCAGACATAATAAATTCATAGAGTAGGTCAGAAACCTGGCTAGAGCTGTTTTTCTTCCACGCTCATTGATTGCACCTACACACGCTGGTGAAGGCCACGATAGGCAACCTGACAATAGACTGGATACGCTAATAAATGATCCCTTAAGCATCTATTGACTTCATTGCAGGTTTGGATAAATGAAGTCTCTTGTCATGCTTAGCTCAGGGCTAGCTACGACGCTCAGTGATGGATTCATTCTTGTGGTTTCACATGCCGCACATCTGCCGGGGGCGGGGGCAGCGGCGGGGGCAGCGGCAGGGATGTTTTGGATGGGACTAGTCATACTTGTCACAGCTTCTTTAAATACCAAAGCCAGCTGATTGGTTCCTTAGGGGTGTGTGGAGGAAAATAGGCTCCCTGGGGAATCGTAAATTGCCCTTATCTCAACCTGGTATTGAAAAAGCTTCTGGGACTTTGGGGGCAAGCCAAGCCTCTTCTTCGGGCCTCCCTTTGGCATCCCTTCCTCATTTTTCTTTTAGCGACTTGACATTCTGGGGGGGAATAAGCTGTGGGGACTATCCCATTTTGGCCTAAACTCTCGCTACTGGGTTGTGGTGAGAAAGTAGCCCGCTGGAAAATTTAGCACCGCTGTGAGGGATTAGACGTCACTGTCGTGGGACAGACTGGCGGCCTCTCCTGGAGCGTGTAATCCCAGATTTAACATCACATTGTTCATGTTGTCGTTCGGAACACTGCACCTAGTGTGAGCAGTCGCCCAAGAAATATGCATTTCAAAACCCACAAGTGAAACATGACTGAACTGTTCGAACTCCCCTTAACCCAAGCTGAAATCTCCCGTGAATGGACCTAAAGCCAAAAGACATTAAGACCATCAAAATGGAGACACGCAAAGATGAAGGTCTGAAGTTATGTCTTTAAATAACCCTTTTATGCCATATGTATCAGAGATCAACAGAAAAAGAAGCCATGGGCTCTCGAGTAGAAGCCTGTGTGTCAGGACAGCTGGGGTTCTGTGGTCCGCTGAGTCACTCTGTGACCCAGAGCAAATTTCATCCTCTCTCTGTACAGCTGGGGAGGCAAAGCGCAATCAGGATAACAGCTACCGAGCTTTGTAAAACCCTTTGAAACCTTGGGGTGAAAGCGATACCTAGTTGCAAAGTTTCGTTACTAAAACAAGGACTTTTGCAGAAGGGACTCTGCATGTGCCACGTACAATGTTAATGGTATCTAAAATCGGGGGGGTGTTTATTCCCTCTTCATTTAATTTCCTGCTTGGTGGAGTTAGTCTGAAGAGGATTCATTGACGTGTATGTGAGTTCTTTCCATGTAAATGCATAGAAATGGGGAAACAGGTTTCTCTTTAGACTTTTTTCTCCATCTGGAAGTTGTGTGACAGAGCGGGCTGTAGCACCTGATCAGGCCACCCTGCCATTTGGATCCTTGCAGCTCCCACACATGTGCAAAGTGTCTGCGTGCTCAAGCATTTTCCAAATAAAGGCTCGGGATCGGTCCTAGGTCTGGTTCTGTTCAATATCTTCATCAGTGATTTAGATAATGGCATGGAGAGTACACTTATAAAGTCTGTGGATGATACCAAGCTGGAGGGGTTGCAAGTGCTTTGGAGGATAGGATTAAAATTCAAAATGATCTGGAGAAATGGTCTGAAGTAAAATGGATGAAATTCAGTGAGGACAAATGCAAAGTGCTCCATTTAGGAAGGAACAATCAGTTGCATACATACAAAATAGCAAATGACTTCCTGGGAAGGAGTACTGTGGAAAGGGATCTGGGGGTCATAGTGGATCACAAGCTAAATATGGGTCAGCTGTGTAACCCTGCTTTTCTTTTTAACAAATATCATTCTGGGCAGTATTAGCAGGAGTGTTGTAAGCAAGACATGAGAAGTCATTCTGCTCTACTCCACACTGACAAGGCTTCATGTGGACTATTTTGTGCAGTTTGGGGTGCCACGTCTCAGGAAAGATGTGGACAAACTGGAGAAAGTTCAAAGAGCAACGAAAATGATTAAAGGTCTAGAAAACATGACCTCTGAGGGAAGATTGAAAAAATTGAGTTTGTTTAGTCTGGAGAAGAGAAGACTGAGGGGGGGGCATGATAACAGTTTTCAAGTACATAAAAGGATTGTTACAAGGAGGAGGTAAAAGAATTGCCTCATTAACCTCTGAGCATAGGACAAGCAGCAACGGGCTTAAATTGCAGCAAGGGAGGTTTAGGTTGGACATTAGGAAAAACTTCTAGCTGTCAGGGTGGTTAAGCACTGGAATAAATTGCCTAGGGAGGTTGTGGACTCTCCATCACTGGAGGTTTTGAAGAGCAGATAGTCAAACTCCTGCCAGGGATGGTCTAGTTAATACTTAATCCTGCCTTGAGTGCAGGGGACTGGACTAAATGACCTCTTAAAGTCACTTCCAGTCCTATGATATGGAATGCTTCATCACTGTCAAAAGGCTTCCCCACCCTCCGCCCCAATTAAATGCAGTAGATGTGTTTCTGTGAAGTGTTTCGCTTAATGAATCTGCATTCTGCAATGGAAAAATGTGTCAGAAAGTTCCTGATTGGCTCTATATATTGGTTAGGCAGAATGGAGAGAAGCTTGCGTTTTGTGAGGCTGCTCATACTCTGCCTGTCCTGTGGATAAAAAGAGAATGTCAGTGAGTAGACCTAACTGAAGAAAATCAATTTGTCGAAACCTAAACCGTTTACGACACAGGGTGGAGTTCGACAAATTTCCTGACTTGAAAAAAGTGTTGAGGGGGAAAAAAAAATGGGTTTGAAATTGTCAGTGTTGTTTTGACATGTTCTACACATAAAAATCTAGTTTTCCCGTTCAAAATGACTTTTCCTTTTGAAATTTAAACAAATTAGACTGAAAAAGGGTAAAAAAATTGAAATGGCAAATTTTTGAAATCAACTTTTTGATTTGCCTGAAATGAAAAAAAAAATTGGTTTCTCAGTTCACAAATATTTTCAAGATTTTGACTTTTCATCCCAAATCAAGACATGGAAAAAATTTTGAATTCTTGAAAATATTCATGGGACCCAGAAACAGTCTCCCACCCAGCGCTAGCCTTTCGGTCCACCAGCTTGGCATCTCATTAGAATGAAATTCACTTAAACCAGTGACAACGAAATGTCTATTGTGAATATAGAAGTTCCTTTGAAATGGTGTTTTATACTTGTGCATCAAAATACTCCTATGATCAGTCTTGCATTTTATTTTCCCTTTATGTTTTACAGATTCGGGCGTATATGAACATGTTTATGCAAAACGAAGACTATAAGAAGGACCTTCTAGCGCTGAGGTTCTTAGCAATTAATCCAATTATTGACCCTTGGGTCTTTGTCATCCTTAGACCTTCAGTTCTGAGGGTAATCCGTTCTGTACTGTGCTGTCAGATGTCCCTAAAGACCCAAGACAACATGCAGACGACTCCTGCTGCAGAGTCAAAATCCAATAAGCAGATTGACCTTTGCGGGCAGTAGTCACAAGCAGCGTTCAGTGGAGACATCTGGAAGACCTTGCTGAAATGGCTCCTCAGGGTAATGAACAAACTTAGAAGTATAAACACGATGGGAAGCTGGCCTTTTAGCTTACTAAACAAATATATTTACTGTACAATGGATTGAGCTGCAGTCTGGCTGACAAGAGGCTGCAGGGTTTGTCAAAAAGCGAAAGAGAAGTCCATCTAAAGTGAGCATTTTCTATTTATGGGACAGCATCCTAGAGGCTAATCAATAACTGGATTTCTGTTGCCACTAAACAGGAACTTTCATGTTGAACTGAGGACATGTGCTGCACTCTAGTGTGTTTGAAACGCTAAAAAGCTAGTGGCTATTTACTGTAAGTCCAGGAGACAGATGTTTTCTCTAACACTATGCCTAGTGACAGTTTGGTGGGGAGACACAGAAGAGTTAATAATAGAGCTTCGGCTTACTGATTTGTTGCTAAACCCGCCAAGGCCTTATTAGCTTCATGGAGGCTTAACTAACCATTTATCTAACTACTGAAACTGAAGTCTTGAGAGCCCTGTGCATTGGCCTGCTAAACGCGGGGTTGTGAGTTCAATCCTTGAGGGGGCCATTTAGGGATCTGGGGCAAAAATTGGGGATTGGTCCTGCTTTGAGCAGGGGGTTGGACTAGATGACCTCCTGAGGTCCCTTCCCTCCCTGATATTCTAGGATTCTATGATTTCTGTCTCAGAGATATCGGTATTGCCATGTGCCTTCATATAACTACTGTCTTGCCTTGGGGTGGGGAGGAAGGCTAAAGCTAGCTCTGCTTCTTGTCACTGTTTTCCAAGTGCCCTACAGCAGTGGTTCTCAAACTTTTGTAGTGGTGACCCCTTTCACACAGCAAGCCTGAGTGCGACCCCCACCCCACTTATAAATTAAAAACACTTTTTTTATAAATAACACCATTATAAATGCTGGAGGGAAAGCGGGGTTTGGGGTGGAGGCTGTCAGCGTGCGACACCCCCCCCCCCCCAGGTCATAGCCTCGTGACCCCCTGAGGGGTCCCAATCCCCAGTTTGAGAACCCCTGCCCTACAGCTAGGGGAAGAAAAGCCAACTGGGTTCCTCTCTTAGGGTCAAAGCTGTTAGGATGGGCAGAAGCAGGGTTACATCTCTCTGCTCCAGAATCCTGATTTTTAGAGCAGCTCTCCATGGGTAGGGTCATGCTTAATGGTGGGCAAATGTCAACTGAGCCCCCCTGTGTTGCAGCACTCAGCCCCCCCACCTCCTCAACAACCTCTTGGATCAAAGAGCTTTGCTTTGGGCTGCAACCAGCCTCCATCTTACAGCAGATGCCCATCTCCCCTCCCACCACACACACACATTTGCGCTGGTAGGATCAGGAGCTGAACATGCTTCTAAGCATGGGGCCCCTGCATCTCTGAAGCTGGGGTGCACCCGCTGGGGCATGGCCTGCTGCCCTTCAGTGCTGGGAGAGATGGTTGCTTGTGCAGACAGAAGGAAGTTTCCCATGCCGTCTCACTAGGGGTTTTCTAGAGGACCCAACACCTTTGTATTTAAGTGACTCTTCCCATGCAAGCCTGATACAGCCCTGTGCGTGACAGGTCTTTGCAGCCCCTGCTCGTAGGCATTTTCCTTATAAGGCCAGGGAAGAAATACCACACAAGATACGTATGTAATCATCACATCTCATCCTAGGTAAAGCTGTGGGAATGACGACGTGAAGTCTTAAATATCAGTGGGAAATATTTCACAAGATAGAGGGAACCTTCTACCAGGCTGGCTTCTCCAGAGGAGCTGTGATTCCAACTGTGATTCTAAGCAGGAAGCTGCCTTCGTTTTACATTATGGACTGGCTCCCACAGAACTCATGGGGAGCTTTTCCACTGAGTTCAATGGAAGCAGGATAGCTGTCTCCTGTCCAAGCCCGCCGTGTGCTGGAAAGACCTTTTTCCTAGAGCGATTGGCCCTGATTCAGTAGAGCACTTAAGTTCTCAATGCTTTGCTTAATCAGGGCCCTAACTAAGCTATGACTTAAAATCCCTCCTCTGAAAAAGATACGGTTTTCCTTAAGTGCCGCATGTAAAGCAGGTTTTCAGACAGACTGTGGTATATTGTACATGACGCTGATATATGGATAAAAAGAACAGGAGTTCTTGTGGCACCTTAGAGACTAACAAATGTATTCGAGCATAAGCTTTTGTGGGCTATAGACCACTTCATCGGATGCATAGAATGGAACATATAGTAAGAAGATATATATATACATACAGAGAAGGTGGAAGTTGCCCTACAAACTGTAAGAGGCTAATTAATTAAGATGCGCTATTATCAGCGGGAGAAAAAAACTTTTGTAGTGAGTTTTTTTGTCCTGCTGATAATAGCTCATCTTAATTAATTAGCCTCTTACAGTTTGTAGGGCAACTTCCACCTTCTCTGTATGTATGTATGTATATATATATCCTTACTATATGTTCCATTCTATGCATCCAATGAAGTGAGCTGTAGCTCACGAAAGCTTATGCTCTAATACATTTGTTAGTCTCTAAGGTGCCACAAGTCCTCCTTTTCTTTTTGCGGATACAGACTAACACGGCTGCTACTCTGAAACCTGATATATGGATGTTAGTGTGGATCAGCAGCTGTCCTTTTGTTGGCTTTGCCAAGGAGGACCGCAGAGGTTCAGAGAGGGGTGAAGAGAAAATTGCACCAAAAGAATTCCACAGGGTAGACGTGAGGGCCCATTTTGGAGGGTGGAGCTAGACTGACCCCGTAATACAGAGGATAACGTTAGAGTTACCTAGCTCCGTAGTTCTCAGCCTCTGCCGTAACCAGATCCCCTCCCATTTAATAAAATGGGAGTCTCAGGATGAGCATGATCCACTGACCACCTAATAATACCCAATTCTTATTCTAGTGCCTTTCGTCAGTAGATTTCAAAGCACTTTACAAAGAAGGTCAGTAACATTTTGCTCACTGGGAAACTGAGGCACTTTGTTCGTTAAACTTAAGAGGTTATTTTTATATGATCGTGTTATTTCCAGTGTGCCAGGGTGTTGCTTTCTATTGAGATTTTTATTTAAATAAAAATGCATTCATTTTGTCAGGTACGCACTCTCTGCTACGTATGTTCTTGCCAATGGTATGTTATCAGGATTGGCTCATCTGTTATTAGTGGTTTCAGACCAAATTCTGCATTGATTTCACACCCTGTGCAATCCGCACTGAAGTCAGGGCAAGAGGATCCAAGCCCATTAAACTTCAACTGAGAATGGCCTTATTTTACATAACTTTTTCCCCTTCCCTTCTATGGGACCCTCATGGAAGTCAATAGACTTGCTTACACTAGAGATGAATTTTCCCAAATGGGATTACTCAGGATAACGGGCCCAGGAGGAGTGTTGCTCCACTTCTTTAAAAAAAACAAACCCAAAACATTCATGGTATTTTATGCAAATAGATCTTGTATATTTAAGAGTTTTATTTCTTGTCTAAAAATACCCAAAATGAAAAGATTTGAAGCTTTTTGTATTTCTGCAATTGACATAACATAAAATTACTCTAATAAAAATCATCTTTCCAAAGTAGCTTTCTGAATCGTATGTGGTTTCATGCAGAAGTCACAAGTCAGAAAATAGTCAGTCATATGGATGAAACGTGTAGCCTACAGGCTAGATTACAACACAATGGGGGGAAAAATAGCAGTAAAAGGAGGTTTATTATAACATCAAGAACATTCTTGGGAAGAGAGAGTAGGTGGGTTTATTCTAGAAGTAGGTGGGAAATGGTTTTCCGATCCCTCAAATATTTGAAGGTCTGAAGTCCACCCTCCCCCACACCCCGCACAATCTCTGATGGAGACAAAGTCAAAATCTCAAAGATAGCAGTGAACCAAAAAAACCCCAATGTGCAGTTGAGGTCAATTGAAATGTTACAATTCAATAATTTCAGAATGTTTTGTTGAGATTTTGACTGTTTTTCTTTCAACCTACCTTCGCCTGTAACTAGCTTATATTTAAAAAAACAAAGCTCTTTCAAATCGGCAAACCAGCAACTTTCATTTTGAAATTTTTTTCCAATTTTTTTATTGTTTTTTTTAGTTGGGGGATTCATGGACTCCAAACCTCTTCTGAGAAGTTTCAGATTTCATGAATTGGCATTTTTATGAACAATTCCCAACAAGCTCTTGTTTATTCAGAGTTGAAAGACACCACTTCTGACCAGAACAAAAAATACTGAAATGAAGAAATCAGGCATGACTGCCCACTTCCACAGCGGTGTGATTAAATATCTATTTTTTCCACAAATGATGTGTCTCCCAAGTTACACAAATAGATCTGATGTTGAAAATGTTGCTTTTCAGGATGGAAAGGACACCAACCATGAAAGAAATGCTGTTTTGACTCCTCTAATTCCAAAACACGCACTTGCTCCCCAAATGACTTATTACAACATAAAACCTTGCATGCTATTCGTAAGATACAAATAATACTAGAGGGGTTGTGAATTTGTTCTCATCCAAAGAATTATTGAAGGTCAGACACTTGATGCTGTTGATTTTCATAGTCTGAATGGGTGTGAAGAAGGAGAACTGCTAACAACGGAGATGGTAATAAAAGCCAGCGGTTGTGTAATTTGTCAGTTAGCCACGATCCACAGGAAGTTCTCTAGCCTCTGAACCGTGGGTGGGCAGATGACAGACAGAGAATAGTATTGCGCAAGGGTGATGAAAATCGCTTCCTGGTTTAAGAATAAAAGACTCCACTGAGCTGCTGTGGGAGGAACGATTGCTACCATATTTTTATCTGTTGTGGAGGTTTCCGTGATAAAGCTATGGTATCGATACAGTGCGGAGCCTTCATTTTGTGGAGCAGATTTTTAGAAGAGGCTGGAACTTTCACGCGTACAAAGATCTGTTTCCACTGGCTATGATTGGAGCTGTGGCTGCTCTGCACTTCTGGAAATTCAGGCCTCCATAATGACTTGCTCAGGCAAATTCCTCATTTGTGCCTGCGACTGTGGGAACCACAAACCTGTATTTCAGCACATAGCCCTCAGGCCTTTGTTTAAAAACAGGGCTGTGGGTGGAGGGGAGGGAGTGCACAAATCTCAGAGGTGTCCCGCCCCCTTCCCCCAATATGATGAAAAGCAACATACAGAATTACATTAAGTTCTTGTGTTTTGTTAAACTTGCATAGCCGTTATTCTGTGTCTTTGAACTGTTCATGCTGGAATTTCTGGTCTGGTTGCATAATACATTTTTTCACAAGGCTGGGATGGGATTTCTGAAATGCACAGTGTTTGGACTCTAGAGTCTGACCAGGTATGAGATAATAAGACAGATGGGGATACAGTGGATAAGAAATTGAATATGAGCCAACATGGTGCAGTTGGCGAACAAAAGGCTAATAGCATTCTGGAGTTTCGTAACTGGAGTGTCATACATAAGACCTGGGAGTTAATTGTCCCTGCTTAATCAGCACTGGCGTGCCCTCACCTGGATGGGTGCCATGCTTTAGGAAAGATATGAACAAACTGGAGAGACTCCAGAAGAGAGCTACAAAACTAATAGAAAACCTGACCTCTGAGGAAAAGTTAAAAGAAAGTGGGCATGTTTAGTCTTGAGGGGGGGACCCGATAACAGTCCGCACGACATGAAGGGCTGTTATAAAGAGGACACAGTGATCAAGTGTTCTCCATGTCCACCAAAGGTAGGACAAGAAGTCATGGGCTTAAGCTGTAGCAAGGGAGATTTAGCTTATATACTGACAGGGTTGTTACTGGAACAGGCTGCCAAGGAAGTTGTGGAACCCCTTCGCTGAAGGTTATTAAGGAGCAGGTGGACAAACAAAGGTCAGGGATGGTCTCAGGTATATTTGGTCCTGCCTCAGCGCAGGAGGCTGGGCTAGATGCACTCTTGAGGTCCCTTCCAACCCTACATTGCTATGAAATCTGTTCAGTCGTACAGGTCTCCATCTGCAATGGGGTGGGGGTGGGGGGCGGTCCCGGGGAGCACCTAAGATAAGGGTTTGGGCCAATATCTTTAGTAAGACAAAAGTTTGTGGTAAACTTTTATATTTGTAAGACGGATGCAGTCCTGCAAACCACAGACTCAACCCCTAAAATAGTACTTTCTAACTCCTTGTTATCTGCACCCGTACATGAAATTCAGAAGTATGTTACAGCTAGCGGATGTCTAATCTGGTCAGTTTCCCAGCATAGGAGCACCACACTAGTTCAGGGGCAGAGGCGGGAAACAGGGTGGTGGTAGGAAAAGCTGCAGGATCCCAGATCCATCTCAACACTTTCTGCAAACATGCATTTGTCTCTATAGGGGTAGGTAGCTGCTTCAAAACCAAGGAGCTTCCATTCTTTGCTACGACTGTAGCAGCTCATTGAGCTGGCTGAAGGGAGCAGCTCTCAGAAATTAATAGATTTTATGACCGGAATGGACCATTGGACCATGGATGGGGCAAAAGGTAGCAATTTGGCTGCTCCTGTGGCATTTGGGTCAGCTGTGGATGCTCCCGGGTCCTCAGCATCCTGTAGACTTCTGGCGAGTGGAGGATCAGAGTTCCCAGAGAGGGGAGAAGAGTCAGCAAAATGCATGTGCGCGAGCAAAGCAAAAATATAAAAAGAAAGAGCAGCAAGAGGGGGAGGGGGAAGGAAGAGCTGGGAGCAGCTCTCAGGATGTGATGGGAGGGTGGTGTCCAAGTACAAATCCATCCCAAGGAGGGAACTCCAACCAGAGAAAGGGTGAGAGCCTGTGAGTAAAGTTATCGGGGTTCCCAAGAGCTATTCTAATACAAAGACTAATCCCACCTCTAAGCAGGAAGACGAGCAGGTGGAGAGACTGTGAAGCTCAACAGTCAGGGTGCAACTCAACCCTGGCAGAGATCATTTTAAGAGTTTATGGGTATGTCTACACAGCAAAGAAAAACCTGGGGCTGGCCTGTGCCAGCCAGCTCGGGCTGCAAGGCCGTTTCATTGTTGTGTAGACATTCAGGCTTGGGCAGGTACCTGGGCTCTAGGATCCTGTGGGGTGTGAGGGTCCCAGAGCCTGGGCTCCGGCCAGGGAGCCTACGCCACAATGAAACAGCTCTGCAGCCCAAGCCCTGCAAGCTCGAGTCAGCGGGCCTGGGTCAGCCATGGGCTTTTCTTTGCCGTGTAGACGTAGCCGAAGATTCAGGTGTTAGCGATTCTGGGACGGGGGCGGTCATGTGAGCAGGAGGGGGAAAAAAATCACGTGGTAGGCCCCAGGAAGTAAAAATGTGAGATTTAT